ATCTATCCAGAAAATTGTCCATTTCCTTTAGATTTTTGAAGCTTTTGGAGTATATGTTTTCTTTTTTGTTTTTTTCGAGACTGGGTTTCTCTGTGTAGCTTTGGAGCCTATCCTGGCACTTGTTCTGGAGACCAGGGTGGCCTCAAACTCACAAAGATCCATCTGCCTCTGCCTCCCAAGTGCTGGGATTAAAGTTGTGTACCACCAATGCCAGGCTGAATTTTGGGGAGTACAGGTTTTCAAAGTATGACCTGATGATTCTCTGGATTTCCTCAGTATTCATTGTTGTATCCCCCTTTTTATGTCTGATTTTGTTAATTAGCATGCTCTCTCTCTGCCTTTTGGTTAGTTTGGATAGAGGTTTGTCTATCTCTTTGATCTTCTCAAAGAACCAACTCTTTTTTTTTTCATTGATTCTTTGTAATGTTTTCCTAGTTTCTTCTACTTTATTGATTTCAGCCCTCACTTTGATTATTTCCTGTTGTCTACACCTCCATCTCGAATTAGCTTCTTTTTGTTGTAAAGCTTTCAGTTGTTCTGGCAATTCTCTGTTCTGACTCTTCTCTAGTTTCTTCATGTGGGCACTTAGTGCTATGAACTTTCCTCTTAGCACTGCTTTCAGAGTATCCCATAAGATTGGGTATGTGTTGTCTACATTCTCATTAAATTCTAGGAAGTCTTAAATTTCTATTTTTATTTCTTTGTCAACAGAGGAATGGTACAATTGGGTGTTATTCAAATTCCACAAGTTTGTAGGTTTTCTGCAATTTTTATTGTTATTGAATTCTAATTTTGATGCATGGGGATCTGATAAGATACAGGGGGTTATTTCAATTCTTTCATATCTGTGGAGGTTTGCTTTGTTGCCATCTATGTGGTCAATTTTAGAGAAGGTAACATGTGGCATTGAGAAGGTATATTCTTTTGTGTTTGGATGGAAAGTTCTATAGATATCTGTTAAACCCAGTTGGCTCATAACTTCTGTTAGACCCTTTGTCTGTTAAGTTCCTGTCTGGTGGTCCTGTCTAGTGGTTAAAGAGTGGTGTTGAAGTCTCCTTTGTGGTTTTATGTGTGGTTTGAGATTTAGTAATGTTTTACAAATGTGGGTGACTTCATATTTGGGGCACAGATGTTCAGGATTGAGACTTCATCTTGATGGACTTTTCCTGTGATACGTATGAAATTCCCTTCTTCATCTCTTTTGATTGATTTTAGTTGAAGTCTAATTTGTTAGATATAAGGATTGCTACACCAGCTTGTTTCTTGGGCCCATTTCATTGGAAAATCTTTTCCCAACCCTTTACTCTGGGGTAACACCAATATTTGAAGTAGAGGTGTGTTTCTTGTATACATCAGAAGGATGGATTCTGTCTTCATATCCATTCTGTTAGCCTGTATCTTTTTATGGGGAGGTTAAGACCATTGACATTGAGAAATATTAATGTTCATTGATTGTTGGTTCTTGTTCGTTTTGGATTTATTGTTGGTACTTTCATTGTGTGTGTATATTGCCCTCCTGTTTCTTTTCGTGTTTGGTAGAATTGCATTATCTATTACCTATGTTTCTCTGAGTGTAGTTATCTTTGTTGGGTTGGAGTTTTCCTTCCAGAACTTTCTGTACTGCTGGATTTGTGGATATGTATTGTTTAAATCTGGTTTTGTCATGGAATATCTTGGTTTCTCCATCTATAGTGATTGAAAAATTTTGCAGTGTACGTAGTCTCCCTTAAAGTTTGAAGGATATCTATCAAGGACCTTCTGGCTTTTATAGTTTCTATTGAGAAGTCGGGTGTGATTCTTATAGGTCCCCCTTTATATGTTACTTGGCCATTTTCCTTTGCTGCTCTTAATATTTTCTCTTTAGTGTTCGTTTGGTGTTTTGATTATTATGTGTCCAGGGGACTTCTTTTTGTAGTCCAGTCTGTTTGGTATTCTGTAAGCTTCTTGTACTTTCATAGGCATATCCTTTTGTAGGTTGGGGAAATTTTCTTCTATGATTTCGTTGGATATGTTTTCTGTACCTTTGAGCTGTATTTCTTCAGCTTCTTCTTTACCTATTATTCTTAGTTCTGCCTGTTCACCCTGTTGCATATTTCCTGGATATTTTGTGTTAGGGATTAGTTGGACTTGAGATTTTCTTTCGTCGATGACTCTACATCCTTTGAGTCTTCAACAACTGAGATTCTCTCTTCCATCCCTTGAATTCTATTGGTTATACTCACATCTTTAGTTCCTGATCATTTATTCAGCCTTTCTGTTTCCAGCATGCCCTCAATCTGTGTTTTCTTTACTGTATCTATTTCAGCTTCCATGACTTCAACTGTTGAGTGCTCCTTCATTTTGTTGTTTTTTCTTGGCTTTCATTAGATTCAGTAAATGATTTGTTTATTCTTTTGGTTTGTCTTTTTCTCCATTTCATGTAATTTTTGCTTGTTTTTTCTGCCATTTTTTTTAAGGGATTTTCTTGTTTCCTCTTTAAAGTTGTCTATCATCTTCCTATGATAATTTTAGAGGTCCATCTCTTCTTCATCATCTGTGTTGGGCTTTTTATATCTTGCTGGCGTGGAGTCCCTAGATTCTGGTGGTGGCATATTTGTCTTTCTGGGACAGAGGTTGGGGCTAAGTATCCCTCACCTTTGACCATCAGGCAGCTCTACTGTGCTGCCTACACAAGTGGCAAGGTCTGGTTTCTGTATGCTGCACCTGGTAAGGGGGAAGGTCAGCTCTTGTCTGGTGAAGGGAGTATGGAGGAAGGCAAGTGGGGTCATATCTTACCTGCCCACAGAATCATGTGACAGATGAGAGTGGGAACAGCTCTCCCACAACTCTAACTTCAGGGCTGGCTCACCCACACCTGTGCCAGCATGGTTGGCTCTATTGTGTTGCCCAGATGAGATGCAAGGCTGGTTCTCACAAGTTTTGCAGCTGGTGGGGGTCATGGTTAGTTCCTCTGAACTTATTAGCTGAGGCCTAACTATCTCACCTAGACATAAGCCATGAATAAAATTGGAGGAAAATGGAAAGAAGACATATCTTGACAGGTAGGGGACAGAGGATGGAGAAAGGGAAATGATGAATACACCTATGAAAAAATTAAATATCAGTATTTATTATTTATACAACCTAAACAAAATTAATAAAACAAACCATGTGAGGACATATCAATGTCTATTTGGAGGCAGAACATTTCATCCTATAAACAACCAAACAGAAGGAAAATTTTTACAACATCTATTCTTGCTTCTATTATTTAAAGATTAACAGTAAGTGAAAAATAGCTAACAGAACAAAAAAGCTAACCAAGAACAAGAAGCACATGTAAAATGGAAACTTGGAATTACTGAAGGAATTGAGGCTGACAGACCAGAAAAACTTGCAATTACATGCAATAGAATATATTATTGTTAAAATCACAGTGGCAAATTTTATATAATTAACTCAAATCCACAAGGAAGCTCCAGACCATTTACTTCTCATACACAAGAAAAGCAAATCTCACATTTTTACATGCAGAGACAATACAGGGATGGTATCTCAGTTCCAAAATCATCGAACATGTTTTCCTTTATCTTAGGAAACCCTGTGAAAGGGTATTTTAATCCCAGGAAGTCATGGACCACAGGTTGAGAACTGCTAGGCTATAATCAAGTTCCCATTTTCAACAAATTTGGAGAGACATTTACTGAGTTCGGCAAGTGGTTATGAAATACAATTGCTGGGGAGGTACAACATGCATATTCATCAACTCACCCCAACTAGAAGCTATAAACAGAATGAAGTTCAACTTTTTGAACCAAAGAGCTTCATTGGAATTGATTAAACATATATGGGGAGGCAGTTGCTTACCAGAGCATAAGGGACTCAAACAGAGTTGCAATCATGAAATTCAAAACCAGTCAAAACCAGCATGGGATACAGCTTAAGAATAATGCACACCTGGAGGATAGTGCACACCTGTAGGCATAGCTATAAGTGAAAGAGAATCCTATCTTCATGCTTAAAATCTTGTAAGGGACATGACTTCTCTCAGTTTCTTCATGCGACTTAAGCACACTGAATCCTGTTGGGTTTGGAGATTTCTTGAAGCTATTTTGAGTGCTGTGTTTCCTGCTCCAATCATCTGTCCTTCAGAATGGATCACTCTTGTCTCCAGGACACTTACACAACACCACATACTTCAGGTTTCAGCATTTCTTCTTCATTATGAAGTATTTGAGGTTCAATGAAAATTGTCACTCTAAGATTTGAAAATAACTTAAAGTCTTTCAAAAATTTTTCATGTTCATAATAGTTCTCTAGTTTGGAGTCCCAAGAGCCGAAGAATAGAGCTTGGTTTAAGGACATGCCAATTTTTTCCCATGGAAACTTTTGTGTCTGTTATGAATTCTCACAAACTGTCTTAGACGTGAAAAGCAGTTAAAGACTTTTGTGTGCATATTACATTTTAGAGTATTCACTCCTATATGAATATTTGGATGTGTTATCAGAATGATTTTTAGACAAATCATTTCTCATGTTGACTACAATGGTAGTAGGGAGTCAGATGCTGAGGTGAAAACTTGCTAGTTCAGAGAGGTCAAGAAGCAACCAAATTAACTTCCTTTTTTGCCAGAGTCCCAGTAACATAGTGTCTCTTCAACAATCTCAAACCAGAAGACCTCAAAGACTCAAGTCACTCCCTACTCCTCCCTGTGTCTCGACTGGTATTCATATTCCTTCGTACTCTCTATGGTTACTTCATGACGAATAGTCCTGGGTTCCACCCACTAAGGATGGTTAATATTCTTAAAATTCAGCCGGGCGGTAGTGGCACAAGCCTTTAATTCCAGCACTTGGGAGGCAGAGGCAGGCGGATCTCTGTGAGTTCGAGACCAGCCTGGTCTACAAGAGCTAGTTCCAGGACAGCCTCCAAAGCCACAGAGAAACCCTGTCTCGAAAAAAACAAAAACAAAACAAAACAAAAAAAATCTTAAAACTCCGGTTGTAAAGTATGTTGAAATATTCCAGAACATATTCTAAGATTTAGAAGTAACAGTAAAGTATTTTGCAAGCTTGCTACATTTCTAAATTTTATCTAACATATGTATTCTCTGATGAGTTCTAAGATGGCCTTTTCTGGTAAATGATTTGTTACATTCCCAATTTGTAATGGTACTCTCCTGTGTGGATTCTCCAATGAATTTTCAGTTCCTATGTCCTGTAAAAGGATTTGTCACGTTCACTACATTTGTAAGGTTTCTCTCCTGTGTGGATTCTAAGACTGTGTTTTGTGGTTAAAGACTTGTCACATTCACCACATTTAGATAGTTTCTCTCCTGTGCAGATTCTCTGATGAGCTCTAAGAGTTCGTTTTGTGGTTAAGGATCAGTAACACTCACTATATTTGGAAAGTTTCTCTCCTGTGTGGACTTTCTGATGAGCTGTAAGATGGGATTTCTGGGTAGAATAGTTGTCACTTTCACTGAATTTGTAAAGTTTCTCTCTTGTGTGGATTCTCTGATGATTTCTAAGATGGTCTTTCCTGGAAAAAGACTGGTCACATTCACTACATTTGTAAGGTTTCTCTCCTGTGTGGATTCTCTGATGAGTTCTAAGCCTGCCTTTTGTGGTAAAGGATTTGTCACATTCACTACATTGGTAAGGTTTCTCTACTGTGTGGATTCTTTGATGATTTCTATGAGAGTCTTTCCTGGAAAATGATTTGTCACATTGACTACATTTGTAAGGTTTCTCTCCTGTGTGGATTCTCTGATGAGTTCTAAGCCTGCGTTTTGTGGTTAAAAATTTTTCACATTCACTACATTTGTAAGGTTTCTCTACTGTGTGGATGCTCTGATGATTTCTAAGATGGTCTTTCCTGGAAAATGATTTATCACATTCACTACATTTGAAAGGTTTCTCTCCTGTGTGGATTCTCTCATGAGTTCTAAGCCTGCCTTTTGTGGAAAAGGATATTTCACATTCAGTACATTTGAAAGGTTTCTCTCCTGTGTGGATTCTCTGATGAGTTCTAAGCATGCCTTTTGTGGATAAGATTATTTCACATTCAGTACATTTGTAAGGTTTCTCTCCTCTGGGGATTCTCTGATGAGTTCTAAGACTGCCTTTCATGATTAAGGATTTGTTACATTCATTATATTTATAAGGTTTCTGTCTTGTGTGGATCCTGAAATGTCTTTGAAACTTTGATAAACAATAAAAGCACTTACCACATTCTGTACATTTGTAGGGATTTTCTCTACAATGGATTTTGTAATGTACATTGAGTTGTGAAAAATGCAGGAATGCTTTATTACATTTTGTACACTTACAGGGTTTCTCTCTAGTATGGGATCTCTGATGCATAAGGCTTGAGTGAGTCTTGAAAAGGTTTCCACATTGCATGCATTGATGTGGATGCTTTCTGCAATCAATTTCTTTCACTTTGATTTCTGCATTAGACTCAAGAGATGTTTCATATTCTGTAGTTTTGTAGTCTTCGTTTCGTGACTGTGTTCTTTGATTTTGGCCAATGATGGAACACAAATACAAACAGTTTCCACTGTCTTTAAATTTGCAAAGTTCTTCCCCAGCATTCCGAATTTTGTGTCTGTTGAGGTTTAAGGTTTCATCAGAGGCACTTCTGTAGCTATGAAATATGCACTTGTTGTAATTTTCAGCAGTATCACTTATATCATAAGGTGTACATTGGCCGAATTCATGAACCACTTTGCCAGGCTCATTACATGTATTAGTCTTCTCTTGAATATTTTCATGATCATGGATACAATAGTTTGTGCCTTGGTGGAAGAGTTTCTCACGTTTACCACATATGCGATGGTTCTCTGAAAAATTAGTACAATTGTGAATAATAGCAATGAATATGGAATAGATTCAATACTTTAACTATTTTAGGTTTCCAACACATATAAACTAGTAACTTTCAGGGAAAGCACTGTTATCAGAGGATTTTTCTGTTTTACAATCAATAAATGGATGCTCATAAGAATCTACTATCTCGAACTTGGGCTCCTGTGTCAGGCCCAATTTCTGATTGCCCTTTCTGGGATCATGACCTGGGGAATGCAGGCAGGTCCACTTGCCCCCAGAGAAACAAGGAAATGAAAGTCTGCTAACATCGCTATGCTAGTCCAGCTCCTGCCCACTGGGAGAGGGAGTGCCTCAGACACACCTGTACCCACTGTGAGACCTATTAGAGTATGGGACCTGCATGCACGCATCAGAAGAGAACCTTGGAACTGTATCCACAAGGAGAGGAAGTGACATCACCTGCAGCAACAGGAAGAAGGGATTGGAAGACAATAATAGAAGAGCACATACAACAACAGAAAAACCAATATGATGCCACCAGAGCTTAGGGATTTTACATTATCAAGACCTGAATATCCAAACACAGATGAAGCAGAAGATAAACACCTGAAAAACAACGTCATGAAGATGACAGAGACTCCAAAGGAAGAAATGAGCAAGTCCTTTAAGAAACGGAAGAAAAGACAAACCAAAATTTCAAAAAACAATTCAAACAGTGCAAGGTTTGAAAGCTGAAATAGAATTTAAAAAAAAGACACACACAGTCTGAGGGCATGCAGGTATTACAAAATATGGGCAAATAATCAGGAACTACAGATGCAAGGATAATCAACAGAACAAGAGAAGGAAGAGAGAACCTCAAGTGTTGAGGATCCACTAGGAGAAATATATTCACAGCACAAAGGTAATATTAACTACAATAAATCCCTAATGCAATATACCCAGTAAATATGGGACACTGTAAAAAAATGCCAAACCTAAGAAAAATCAGTAAAAAAGAAGGTGAAGCAATCAAACTGAAACATGCAGAAAACATATTCAACAAAATCATAGAAGAAAACTTTCCCAAACTAAAGAATCAAATGCCAATGAAAGTACAAGAAACCCACAGAACACCAAATAGAGAGGACCACAAAAAAAGTTCTCTCATCACATAATAATCAAAACACCAAACATATAGAATAAAGACAGAATATTAAGAGGAAAGAGCAAAGGAAATGACCAAGTAACATATAAAGGCAAACCTATCAGAATTACACCTGACTTCTCCATGGAAACTGAAAGTCAGAAGATCCTGGATAGATACTCTACAAACCTTAAGGAACTATGGATGCCAGCCCAGACAACTATGCCCAGCAAACCTTTCAAACAACATAGATGGAGAAAACAAGACATTCCACAAAAAAAAAAAATCAGATTTAAATAATATATATCCACTAATCCAGCCCTACAGAAAATACTGGAAAAAAAATTCAAACATAAGGAAATTAACTATACTCACAAAAACATAGGCAATATATAGTCCCACATAACCAAAAGTCATAAGAAAAACGGGGGTAAATACACACAACCCCACCACCAAGAACAAATCCAAAACAAACAAGAACGAACACTCAATGTTCCTTAATTTCCCACATATAGACACTGAACTGAACTCTGAAACCCAGTTGCAGAGAGGGAGGAATGAAGATCAAAGCAGTCGGTACCAGGCTGGTGAAACCCACAGAAACAGCTGGCCTGAACAAGGGGAGGACATTGACCCCAGATGCTGTCTGGGAGGCCAGCAAGGGACTGATCCAGACCCCTGAACATGGATGTCAATAAGGAGGCCTCTGTACTCTAGGGGGCCCCTGGTAGTATATTAGTATTTTTCCCTGGTATAAGAAGGGACTTTGAGAGCTCATTCCCCATCTCTGCCTGGACACATGAGGGAG